TTTGATATCTCTGAGGACCTCACACGTGACCTGAGACGTGAATAATGGCAAAGATCCAGCCCTATGAAGATCTGGGGGAAGAGCGTTATTCTTATTCAGCTAAAGGGACCAGCAAGTGCAAAGGTCCTGAGGCAGAAACAATCTCAGCAAGTTTAGGAACAGATGGAAGTCTTTGTCTTCTTTTTCTCTAGGATCAGGGACAAGGCCTTCCATGCAGGCCCCTCAGGTTTCAAAAAATGGTATCAGTCACCTCCCTGCTGAGAGGATGCATGTGCAGCTAGGCACTTGCCTGGCCACACAGACTGATGCCTGCCCTTCTGAGTCCTGTCTTGGACCCAGGGCTGGCGAGGCTGTCTCCAGGCTCTGGGCCATTTCTCCTCCTGCCTGGTACCTGCCTCCCCAGCCCTTCCAGCAGGCTGACCCACATCCTGGGCTCTCTGCAGAAGTTGGCCTCCCAGGCCTTTGTCCTGGGGAATGTTTACTTCTTAAGCAAGGCGAGAGGAGCCTGGGAGCCACTCTGCTTTGTGGAGCTCTCGCTCCTGGGGTGAGCCAAGGCCACGGTTATCTCATTCATTCATTCAGAAACTGCTTATTTCAAAAGCATCTCCTGCCAGCCTTTTGTATTTCAAACACTTTCTTTGCTGTAATTTTCTGTAGTTATTTAATCAAGTTTCTTTTTTTATGAATGACTCCTTTATATTCTGTGCCTTTTCCTCTAATTCTTTCATGACTCCCGGCCCTTAGGGATAATTCGGGCTACAGGGCCCCCCACCCAGCCGGCCCCCAGAACTGCAGCTCCAGGCTAGCCTCTGGGCCCCTCACCCCCAGGCCCTGATTCTAGGTTTCTTTCTTGGAGTCGGGAATCCTTAGCTGCATCTTCTTGGTCCTGCTTTCCCAGGGCCTAGAACGCCCACCCGCTCTCCCATGTGGAGGTTATGGACTCGCATGGGGGCAGTGTTGAGGCCTCATGAGGACGCAGTGGATGGCTGGGAGAATGCTCCACAGAGGCTGTGACCTCCAGGGATGAGTGTCCACGCCATGGCCACCTGCCCCCAGGCAGGCCCTCAGTGGGGTATGGCGGCTCTGCTCCCTTGTCCCAGATCCTCTCAGACCCTCTCTCATGGCCCTGTGGTCCCAAGGAGAAGAGTAAGACCTGTGTCCTCAGGCCTCCACGGGGGTCTCCTCAGCCCAGATGGACCCCTGCTCCCCACAGTCTGTGAGAGACATCGGAACCAGGCTTCCCCCTCATGTGGCACTGGCTGAGGTCCTCAGTGGAACCTGAGGGGTCAGAGGGCTCTCCACGGCCACACCTACCTAGCTTCCCCACCGCTCTGGCTGACCGCTCATGGACAAGCCGGTTGCTGGTCACGGCGGACCCCACAGCCCTGGGCCCAGAGGAGGACTCTGCCCAGTGTGAACGTTCTGGGAAGGGGGCCGGGGAATGTCTGTTGAGAAGGCAGGGCACTTGGAGTCGGAGGCCAGGGTCAGCGACCTCCCTGAGTCTCCCTTCACCCCTGCTCAGGCTGATCCCAGCCAGGGTTCAGAGCTCAGAGGTGGGCGCTCCTCACAGGAGCCTCCATGCTCCCAGCTTGGCCATGGTGACCACATCAGGGAAGAAGTCTGGGCAGGACACTCTAGCTCTCAGACACCACAGCATCCTCTGCATCTCGGGCAGCCCCTGAGGGGCTCCACCTGGCCATCCTGTGAGAATAACAGCCCACTCTCTCTGTCCTTAACACCTGAAGGGCAGGGAGCTGGCACGTCTTTGTCTCAGGGCTTCCTCACTTCAGAGCTGTGGGCCAGCTCGTGGACTAACGGCCCAGGCGTGAAGAAGGACGCAGTCTCACCACGGCCCCCTTTTAAAAGACCTCCAGGGGGCCTGAGGAGGGCTCAGGTGGTGGGTAGGGAAGGGGATGAAGGGAGCCAACACCATTCTCCTTGTGGATGTGAAGGATTAGTTCCGGCGTGGATGAAGATGTTCAGACATGATGAGGCAGTTGGGAAATTATTTTATTCTTCTTTATGGGATTTGATGAACTATTTGAGAATTAATATTTGTTCTTTGGAAGCCAGATACGCATGTGATAAAGATAAGTGTGTCGGGGCTGGGCTGGTGGCGTAATGGTTAAGTTCACATGCTCAGCTTCAGTTGCCTGGGGTTCGCAGGTTCGGATCCCAGGTGCAGATCTAGCATTGCTGGTCAGGCCACACTGTGGCAGCATCCCACATACAAAACAGAGGAAGATTGGCACATGTTAGCTCAGCGACAGTCTTCCTCAAGCAAAAAGAGGAAGATTGGCAATGGATATTAGCCCAGGGACAATCTTCCTCACCAAAAAGAAAAAAAGATAAGTGTGTGGACCATCAGGAGAATCATGGGAATCTGGGAGCCCAGGAAGGAGACCAATTCACAGTGTCCATCACCCTGGATTGTTCCAAGGGACCCAGTGGACTGTCCTGCCAAGGTCCTAGGGTGTGAGTCTGGACTGGAGAGCCCAGACTCTGGGAAATATAATGCTGAGAGAAAGGGAGTGGATGGGCAGATACAAGAGCTCCTGTGGGAAGAGGGTGGGGTTTCCAGAAAGTCAGGAAGATTTGATAAGGCAGGGATCAGAGGATGGAGGTGCTCTGGCCAAGGAGACCAGTCTGGAAGCTGGGGAGGAGGATTAATAACTGAGGGCCACCCTGGAGGGGATCCCTCTAAGAGTGCAGTTTGCTGGGGGCTTCTTCCCCCATGGACCACAGGCTAGTTCTGTACAGTGAATGTTGTCAAATTCCTTCCCTCGCGGGTTGTCACCCTCTTAGGCTTCTCCCAACCTCTCAGTAAAGTCTCCTACAGCCAGCCCACTTGTATGGTGAAGAGTGGAAAGAAGCGAGGTTGACACAGCTGGAGGGAGGTGAGCCCTGGCGGTTCACCTGGCCTCTGCCTAGGTGACCAAAGCTCCAATCATCCCGGATACAGTTAGCGGCAGGGGGAGTGATGTTCCCAGGAGCAGTGGACGTCAGTGGACCACGTGGATGTTGCTTACTAGAAGGGACATGGTTCCCCATGAAATCTGCAGCACCTAGACAGTACTCCGCACACAGGAGTGATTCAACAAATACTGGAATGATACTTTGTGGCCTATCTTCACCAAATACATATGAATATCTAATAAATACACAAAAAGATGCTCATAATCACTACTCACTAGAGAAATGAAAATTTAAACCATAATAAGCCATCATTACACACCCACCAGAATGATTGAACTTAAAAGGCCTGACATATTAGGGTTTGACGGGATATGGAGAAACTGGAAATCCCATACATTGCTGATGGAATGACAAATGGTGTAGCTGCTTTGGGAACAGTATGGTAGTATCTTGTAAAGTTAAATATATTCTTACCAAACAACCCACAAATTCCACTCCTGGGTATTTACCCAAGAGAAATGAACACTCATGTTCACACAAAGACCTGTATGTGAATGGTCTTGGTAGTGCTTTTCATAAATTATCAGAAACTGAAAGCAACCCAAATGTCCATCAACTGGTAAATGGATAAACAAATTATACTATGGAATACTGCTCAGCCACAAAAAGGAATGACATATCAATAGATGTAGCAACATGGATGAGTCTCAAAAATATAATAAGACAAAGAATTAAACAAAAAAGATTCTGTACTGTATGATTCCATTTATATGAAACTCTAGAAAAGGCAAAATTATAATGACAGAAACCAGATTTGCCTAGGGCTGGGGGAGGGGGAGGAAGAGATGCATTCCAAATGAGCAGGAGGAAATGTTTCAGGGTGCAGGAGCTGTTCTCTATCTTGATTGTGGTGGTGGCAACATAATTGTATATAATTATCAAAACGCATCAACCTTCACACCTAAAATGGGTGAATTTTATTGTATGTAAATAATCAAATACAAATTTTAGGTAAACGCCCCCCCCCACACACCTACATACATCATGGGCAAATTTATGAAAACCAATGATAAGAAGAAAATCTTGAAGGCAGCCAGACACACAATAGACATAACAAAGATAAGAACCACAGCAGACTTCTCTTCAGAAACTACGTCTTCCAGTGGCCAATGGAGGAAAACCTTTAAAGCACTGAAAGTGAAAAAGGTGGACCCAGAATTCTATAGTCAGTGAAACTATCTTTCAAATGTGAAGGTGCAGTAAAGACTCTCAGACAAAAAGTAACAGCATTCATTGCCAGCTGATCCGTGCAAAAAGAAATGGTAAAGGAAGTTCCTCAGACAGGAGAAGCACCATCTCAGATGGAAATTTGGATCTACACAAAGAATGACGAGCACTGAAAATGCTAAAAATAAATGTAAATAAAGGTTATAAAGGTATCCATTAGAAGACCTAAAGACAGGCCACAAAGCTTCCGGATTGCTAGAAGGATCTGCAACGAGCCAGTGCCTCGTGGATAGAGAACGACAGACACCTGGTATAACGACAGGGCGTGGCTTCGTCCTGGTGACAAAGCGCTGTCACGTTAACTCCCTGGGAGTTAGGGAGGCAGGCTGGCACATCACTATGCCAGCTTTATAGGAACAGACAAATGGAGTTATTTGCCCAAGAAACCGTATTAAGTAACAAACAGCATAGAACATTTTCTATTCTGTGTTTTTTGAGATAACTTAGTCCAGTCCCCTTGAAACCTGTGAAACGGGCAACGGTAATTTTGGGAGCCTGGAATCGTGGTCACCTGTAACACCGGGCGAACGTGCGCTGCTTGCCGAGGCTGTCGCGACGGTGGAGGGACACGGCGCTGTCCTTCGACCTGCAGGCTGAAGCCGCTCCTCCGCAGACCCGGCTTAGCGTGCGCGCGCAGCCGGCAGGCGGTGGGCGGGGCGCCGGGCGCGTCCGTTGCTAGGGCCGCGCCGCCCTGGCGACCGAGCGCCGCGGCCCCGCGCACGCGCAGTGGCGGACTCCGGTGCACTGTGGGATGGAAACCCGAGCGGCGCTTCGAGGCCGGAGCGGGCGGCGGCGGCGGGGCCGGCGGCGGCCGGGCGGCGGCGCTTAGGCTCGGCGGGCCGGCGGGGCGCCGGCGGCGCCGCCATGAACGCCGCGGTGGTGAAGCGGACGCAGGAGGCTCTGGGGAAGGTGATCCGGAGGCCGCCGCTGACGGAGAAGCTGCTGAACAAGCCCCCGTTCCGCTACCTGCACGACATCATCACGGAGGTGGGCGCCCGGCCGAGGCCGGGGTGCGGGCCGGGGGTCGGGGCCCACGGTGGGGGTCGCGGCCGGGGTGTGGGCCGGGAGTTGGGGTCGAGGTGCGGACCGGGAGTTAGGGCCCACGGTGGGGGTCGGGGCCGGGGTGCGGGCCGGGGGTTCGGGCCCGGGTGCGAGTTTGGGGTCATGGTCGGGGTGCTGGCCGGGGGTCCGCGCCCAGGTGTGAGTCTGGGGTCAGGGTGCGGGCCGGGGTTCAGGGCCCAAGGTGGGGGTCAGGGCCCACTGTGGGGGTCGGGGTTGAGGTGCGGGTCCGGGATCCGGGCCCAGGTGGGGGCCGGGGCGTGGATGCGGACCAGGGGTTCGGGGCTGGAGATCGGGTTGGGGGCCGGGGGGTGGGGGCCCAGGTGCAAGTCGAGGTCGGGATCAGGGTTGGGCTCAGGGTCTGGCCTCGTGTTGCTATGCGCGGCGCCTGCCCGAGGAGCCGGGCCTTTGGCCTGGCCTGCAGCCTGGGGGAGGCGAGCGCTGGGCCCAGTTCCGCGGTGCCTCTGCACAGAGTTCGTCGCCCTCACCCCTGGTCTCCCCTTCTCACCCATCCTCCTGGGCTGTCTCTTCCGGGAGTCTCCGGGCCCCTGAGGGAGCATTCTTTCTTTCCAGCTTACCCATGTATCTGTTAGAGCACATCTTGCATCCTGCCTGGCAGAGCTGTTTCTGAGATTTTTTTTTTTCCTGCAGTGCCTAGCACATGGAAGGTGCTGAGAAATCCTGGAAGAATGAAATTATTCTTTTTTATACCCCACTCCCCCAAGTTTCCCTCTGCATTGCTCTGAAAAGTGGTCACTACGTATTGGATACTTAATAAATACCTGTGGGTGAATTTATTGAAGGTGGTTGTAGGGGGACCTGAAAGGAAAAAACTGTAAAAGAGCAGGGTAGTATTTGCTGATAAATGGCACAGCGTGCCTCCAGTCGGGGTTGATTGTCTAGAGCTTTTCCTTAGTGGATGGTGAATTCCTGAATGATGGATATGGTAACTTGTTTGTTGGCATATCCCAGGTGAGCTGCACTGGGTACCGTACACAGAAGGTGCACAACAAACATTCATTGTTGAATGGAATCTGTCAAGGCCCGGGTAACTCAGAGTGGCAGCGCCCATTTCCATGGTGCACCTTGTGGCGGGGGGAGAGTATTGAACTTGGGAACTTGGTCATGCTCTGTGGGAATTAGGAATCGGGTTGAATTTGCAGGTTTCCAGGGCTGCTAACCTCCCGCCATGTTGGTCCTCAAACTTTATTTCTTACTCTTTTCCACAGGTTGGGCATCTTACTCTTCCACAAACTTGGCTTTACTCTTTTCTCCCATCTTAACTTAGCTTATAGTGTGTGCCTCTGTGCCGAAAACCCTAATAGTGCTTAAACTTCTCTGGAATCCCAGCCACATCCCAAGGGCTGTCTTGACTGGCCACTACCTCCTTCTGTGCTGGTCCAGCACTTACACCTGTCCTGGACAGTGTTTGAGGAAGGGACACGGCTGTGTGCTGCATTACCTCCGCCCTGTGAAGTGGGCAGGTAGCATCCTCCAGCCCAGGAGAGAAGAAGTCAGTTAGCCAGGATGTGAGCCTGGCTGACTGCGGCCTCACGCTTTTATTTTCTGTGTTAATCCTGCCTCCCCACTGAGACAGAGAGCTGGGAAGGAGGCTGGGGGACGTGCCCCATCCTGTGGGTCTTAGTGTGGTGCTGGGCTCATGGTGGCAGCTGTCCCCACCTCCTGGAACCACTCGTCGGCTCTTCTTCCACAGATTTTCCCTAATTTAATGCCCAAATTAATTTCTCTACCTGTGTAAAGATAAATATGTTAATTGTCACCACTTGATAGAGATATTAGAATGATTGACATCTCGGAAAGCATTTTTAGCTAATAGGTGAAGAGCCTCTATGAAAATTCTTACCTCCTCAAGCATTGTATTCAACTCACCATATCAATATTTTAGCTACTCCTAAACTAATTCTGCCTCTTTTATAAATTGATGCATTGATCTTGTGACATTAATATCTCTTGTTTCTTAAAATTATTGCTTGCAATTTTAACTGCCGGCAAACTGGGAGAACCTCACAAGAGACAAAATGAAAAGCTTCCAGGAATATTAAGTGCAGGATAATCTTAACATTCCACCCATCTTCTCAGGAAAAATAATAGCTCAGCTCTTAAGTAGTTTGATGAGGGATGAAAGGTAGCTTAAGTAACAGCTGGCTGTAGCTTGGTGTCAGGGAGGGAGCCTGATATGAGGGACGGACTGTTTATTTTTTTTTCCAAACATGTCTTGTGGTAATAAATATGGTCTGTATCCACCCAGGACACACACATAGACACATGTTCCTCCTTACTACCTATGGTGCAGTCTGATATTTATTTTTCTGTTTCATTTTTTAAAAAATGCTTTTTGCTACCCATTATGTTCATTTTACCATGACTTACCGCATTTTGAAAAACTGGTCTGAGAGAACCCAGGGCCCTGGCCGTGTGTGGGGGTGGGAGCAGAACAGAAAATCACTACCCAAAAGCTCCTTTTAGGGGTCCTTGGGAGGTACGGGTTGACTGAGGAGAGAGCAGCACAAAAGTGACACTGCACAGAGCGCCCCTCTGTCCCGGGAACTGAGCAGTACGGTGGGGAGGAGAAGGTCCTTTCCGTCCAGCTTCAGGAAACCCAGGCCGAAAAGTTCCCTTTTTTCGAGGGTCCATTCTCTCCACTGAGCCTGGGCGACCCTTTAAGACGCCATTCCCTGCTTTTGACCCTCTCAGGGCCTCCTCGTGGTCCTTAGGTTAAGTCTGTATTCCTGAATGGCTTCGAAGGCGCCCCGGGTCAGGCCCCTGCCTGAGTCTGCCTCGGGCTCCTTCTGTCCCGACCTTCCTTTGATCGTGAACAGGACCCTCTTGGCCCTGGGCCTTGCGGGAACTGTTTGTTATCCTGGCACGTGCTTCCTAGGTACTGCCTCCTCCAACTCTCCTCCTGTCAGCCTCTGGTCTCCGTTTAGACAGGATTTCTTCTGGGAGGTGTTCCCTGACGCCCCTCGCCCTTCCACATTTGGATTAGGTCCTGAGCTGTGCTCCCTTAGCGCCCTGCGAGTCTTTATGACGTTGGCCTGCCCCCACAGCCCGGTGGGGTCTGCCTGGTACAAGGCCTCGCCCATGGTAGACACGCACATGTTTGTGGAGTGAGTGAATGAATTAGATTCTGGGTGCGGACAGATTCTGACGGCCCCTGAGTGTGGGGCTCGGTGGATGAGGCTGATGGAGAGGCTGTCCTGTGGGGTGCTGACCACGCCTTGCGTTATCTTTTGAAGGTGATTAGGATGACTGGTTTCATGAAGGGCCTCTACACGGACGCTGAGATGAAGTCTGATAATGTTAAGGTGGGTTTGGGGGGTTCCTCCCCTCACGTTAATGAAGGTTTTTTTTTTTTTTAGCAGTATAGCTGTGTACTGTGGCATGTATCATTTATATGCTGATATATGATCGGAAGACAAGTGTGATTAATTTGTGAATTGCCGTATACCCTTATTTCATTTTCTCATTTTTGGCCACTTCATATCATGCTAATTATAGCCATTGAGAAATGGAAGTAGTGTTTCAAAGGTCCATGCTGGCCCGTGAACTAAAATTCAAAGCTTTAATGGATTGTTTTTGTTTTGTTAAAAAGAGTCAGTATTTCTAAATGTGGTGTACATCTAAAAATAGCTTTTTATATAAATAGGAACTGTGCTTGTTGAACATACTGAAGACAGTACAAACTCTTTTTGAAGAATTTTAATGCTTACTTTTTAAATGGAAATCTTTCAGGATAAAGATGCAAAAATTAGCTTCCTGCAGAAGGCCATAGACGTGGTGGTCTTGGTTTCAGGAGAGCCACTGTCGGCAAAACCAGCGCGCATCGTGGCTGGGCACGAGCCCGAACGCACAAATGAGCTGCTCCAGAGGATTGGAAAGTGCTGTCTCAGCAAGGTAAGTGCTGCGGCCCTGCAGCCTTAGATTCAGCAGAGCTGAACGACGAGCAGTGGGGGAGCAGCCTGAACGGAGCGGGACGGGTTTGAGGAGGGAGTTTCTGGCGGCGTGTGTGGAACGCTGCGCTTTGAATCTGATCCAGCCTGTTCTGGAGCCTCGGAGTTACAGGAGAAGTAATGTAAAACTGTGCGGTGAAACGGATAAGGGCATGTTAGGCACAAGTTCTACGAGCTTCACATGCAAGGGAGGGAGCTCCACGGGCACTTTGCTCACGCCCAGGCCTCCACGCCCTGAATTCCTTCTCATTTTGGGCCTCCCTTCAGGCCAGGTGACTGTTTCCTGCCAGGGCCGGGGAGCTCCAGCCAGAGGTGCTGCTTTTCTTCTTCTGTGGGGCTCTGAGACGTCCCTGTTCTCTGCTTGCCTTCCCAGCCTCCGGGGTCGGCCTCCCTCCCTCCCTCTCTCCAGGCTGTTGTTTGCAGGGCTGTGCTGCCTGTTTCCCTTGTGCGGGGATTGAGACCCTTGCCGTGGGCTGGAAGCTTGGCCTCCCTGGCCTCATGGTCCAGCCCAGGCTGCGTTTGCCAGGACGCTGGAGGAGGTCTGCGTTTGGCGATGGGAGCAGCTCATCCCCAGGGCCTGCCTTTGTGGGAGCCGAGTAGCCCCCGAGGGGAGCGGAGTTGGACCTTTACCAAGAGCATAGCAGACACAGCCCTGTGTACCTGATGGGCTGTGGGCTGAGGGCTAACCTTTGATGTTATCAAAGTGGGAAAAGGTGGGTTTCTGCCTGGACAGTGGCAGTGGGGGTGCAGTGGGGAACTTGACCCTGGTCTGTGTCCAGCCCTCAGGCTTGGAGACGCAGAAGCTGATTTTGCTAGTGCTCTGGCCCCAGGCCCCACCCCTGCATCCTTCATGTTTCTCCTCTTTCTAAAAAAGAGACTCCTGTCTTGTCTGCTGAATCCTTTCCGGGCTTCCTGTTGCCTCAGGCACAGCCAGCGGCTCCGTGGCATGGCTGACGACCTGCTGCCACTTCCTCCCCTCTGGCTTGTCTCTCTCTCATACCTGTACCCACACCACCCGGTCTCCTGCACGGGTTGTGCTCCCTCCTTCGTGCTGCTAGTTTCTCGGTGTGGAGCTGCTTCATCTGGCAGCAGTGTGGGATCAGCTGCTCTTCCCGGAGTCCTGGCCTGTCCTCCCTCCCGGGCTGACTCGGTGCCTCTGTCGTGTTCCTGTGGCACACTGACGTTTAATCGTTGTGTTTGGCCACCTCCCTCAGTACACAGCATGTCCTCCGCCCGTGGTCTAGCACCTGGTGTGTAACGGTCACTCCGTGCTTCCTTGTGGAATGAGTGAGTGTGTGAGGCAGGGGCGTTCCTGGCCGGGGGTGTTGAGGGGCTGTGGAGGGCGGGCCGGGGTGCAGCAGGAGGGGTTTGTGCGTTTGGTGGGGCTGGAGTTAGATCACGCCTCAGGGCTGTTTCAGTGCTGGGCCTCTGTGAGCCTCTGACAAGTGTGAGGCAGTTGTAGAGCTGTGGGGTCAGCTTTGCTGTCCTTGAACAGCACACACGTCCACACTAGACGGCTTGGGTAGAATTTAACTGGGTTCCTTTAGCTTGGGTGGACTGCTATTAAGGACTGAAGTGTGGAGGTGATAGTTATAGGAGATGCTGTGCTTTGTGATAACATTTCCTTTTAATATTTTATCCTTTCGTTCATTGGATTTCATTGGTAGACAAAGAATCCATGTAGTGAGCTGTCTTTGAATGTCGACATTCGAATTTGTTACGTGTGCTGACCTCATTTTCACCTTCCTTTTCATTTCCTCACACTCGGCCAACAAGCTCTCCAGTGACGACGCGGTGAAGAGAGTGTTGGCTGGAGAGAAGGTGGATATGAAGGGGAGGACCTCGCTGACATCGAAATCTCAAGAATGGGACAATAAGAACACGAGAGAAGAGCCCAAAGTTCATAAAGATAAAGAGGTGAATTGCAAGTTGCACATATCTGAAGTGAGTCTTTTTGTAGTTCAGGTAAAGACATCTGTAAGTGATATTGTTGACTTTTGCTTTTTCAGGATAGAAGAAACTCTGAAATAAATGAGAGAAGTACAAGCAGAGATCGGAAACAGAAAGAAGAATTGAAAGAAGAAGGCAAACCAAGAGAAAAGGAAAGAGACAAGGAGAAGACCAAGGAGAATGACCGCGATAGACATAAAGATGCCGAGAGAGACAAGTACCGAGAGGGAGAGAGAGAGAAAACCAAGGCCAGGACCAAGTCAGAGAGAGACCGAGACAGAGACAGAGGCAACAGAGACCGGGACAAAGATGGGGACCGCGAGAGAGAGAGGAAGAACGAGGGAGGAAGGGAAAAGGAGAGATGGAGAGACCGGGAGAGAGAGCGCGAGCGAGACAAGGGCAGGGACAGGGACAAGGACAAGGACAGGCGGAGGGTGAGAAACGAGGAGCCTTCCAGGGACCCCGACAGGGAAAAGAGCAGAGAGCATGATAAACCGGAGAAAAAGGTAAAGTCCTGTTTGAAAACTTCTGCCTTTGACTTAGAGTTTTTCTCTAAAACAATTTTTGTCTTGATTGTAATACGATTAGGAAATTGATTTTCTTTATTGTTAAAGTTAATGACAATCTTGGATTCCTCGTAGAAACCCAAAGAGGTCCCAGATTTGGCTGGGTGTTCTAAGATTGACTGCTTGTCACCTCTGGGCTGCAGGTGTGTGCATTCGGGTATTTTTCTGAAGACTTTGGAGCAGCCTACCTTAGCGTTGTGAGCAGTCTTTACAAGGCAGCCTCAGCTGTGTGTGAGTTCTTGGGGCCTGGGCGTGGTGGAATTTATTATGAATTAGGGCTACTTTCTTAAGTCTTTTAGGCATTGGCAGATAAGTACAGTAAAACCTCAGTGTACTGAATTCGTATTTAATTAAAATTTCAGGTAAATTTAGGATTGGCCAGAAAATTTGTTTGGTTTCAGTATTTTCTAAACGTGCAAGTTACTTTTGAGCTCTCTGTGGGTAATGTAGGTCTCCCGTTAGGGCTAGTGTTGCAGATGTTCATGGGGACATCGTATAATTATCAGGCGTCCTGGAAAGGTTCTGCAACTCTTCTGGGCTCCAGCTGCTAGAAAGGAGGAAGCCGAGGTCTGGAAAGGTTCGCCCAGGAGGGGTGGGCGGCCGTGAGGGGCAAGGCCTGAGCTGGTGCTTGCGGCCCTTTCCTCCTGAGATGGCCGTCTCCGTTTTTGGCGTTGCATCTCAAGGGTGCTGTCCAGGGAGATGGGTGGGTCCGATGGGACTGACCCTGCGGGAGTCCTGGAATCTGGTCTTCGGTGGAAGTTGGTGTACGCTTGGTTTGGTTAGTAAGTGAGCTGGCGTTCTCCTGGGAGCCCGGGGTCTCCCACAGGCGCTCTGGAGTAGTGTGCCCTGTTGTAGATGTTCCTTTAAGAGTTTTAGAAATAACAAAGACATTCCCCATCTTTTGCCTTCTTTTGGAGGTCTAAGGAAAAGTGTTCTTCACTGGCCTGATTTTTCTGGGCCACTAGCATATTCTGGTATATTTTACTGTGCATGAGGCGGTCCCTGAATGGGGTGACCTTCTCAGCTTCCAGAGTCTTCAGATCAAGTGTTCCTATGTTATGTTTACTGAAATTGCTGATGCTGTGACTGGTTTTTTAAATAGACAGTTCCAAGGAGAAATTTTTACAGGCTATATGGGACATGTTAGAGCCAAGTGCAAGGGATGGTTCTGTTTAAAAGTGTGTGAGACCGGGGTGAAGGGACCATGTTCCTATGCAGAGCTGGTCCTTATTCGGCTGAAGTCGGATTTGTGTAGAGCTTTGGTGGTGGTTTTGCTTGCCGGCTCTTCTGTGTAGATCTGGGGTCCTTTATGGAGTGGGAGTCCAGGAAGCAGCATGCTGTCTCCCCAGGTGAGCAGCGCTGCGAGGTGGTGAGCTGTGGAACCTCCCAGAGAGCCGAGCACCTGGAGACGTCTGTCAGGGCAGCTCTGGCAGGCAGGGGGCTCAGTTCCAACCCAGGCTGTGCCAGACTGCCTTCACCCTCTGGGCGATCCCTTGAGTCGCCTCCGTTTGGTTTCTGCCTGGCAGAGACAATGATGGGACATTGTCAGCCTCCCTCTGGGTTTCTCTGAGGCAAAGGCGAGCCAGTGGGTGTGAAGGCGTCTGGAGTGGTGAGAGTGTGTCTCCGTGTGGCCTCAGGCCCACGTGGCCGTCTGGGGCTGGGTCTCCTGCCCTCTGCAGGCCGCTGCTCGCAGAGCCTGCAGCCAGGTGATTACCGCTGCTGCGCTCTGGACCTTCGGAATTAAGTTCTGAGGACATTCAGTCCTGGAAATACTGAACAGGTGGCCTTGGCTTTTCAGTCTTCGTGGAGGGAAATCCGAGTGATTGCGTCTCTCCTGCTCCTTCTGTCAACATGTGTCTTCAGATTTGATTTAAGGTGGGAGATTTTTTTGAGGTGTTGATTTAATGTGTGTACAGTTTTCATGTAGTTTATGTTTTGAGCGTGCTTTCCTGATATAGGGTCCGAACACTTTGCTTAAAAAGAGCTGCTCCGTTTGAAGTTGCCCCACTGTCAGAAGACAAGGATGGGAGCAGTTTTTTCTTGGGTTTTGGAGGTTTCCATTGTCACTCCTCCCTCATTTCCGGAGTCCCTGTGTTTTACTGCAATGTTCCCAGGCAGTTTGGCCTCACACAGGGATCCGGTCTGTCCGGGGGACGCTGTTCCAGGCTGTTTGCTGAGAGGCGCTGCCTCTGACGCCCCTGCCGCCTGGTCTGCCCCCGCTGGGAGAGACCTTGGAAGGCCCTCTGGGTCCAGGCGCAAGACGGGCACAGGTCATCAGAGCTGGAGTGTGACGGGCGCCCTGTGGGAAGGGGGATCTTGTTGGTCACTGTCAGAGAAAGCATCTTCATGTGTTTTTACATGCTACAGACTTGAATCATTCTACAGTATGAAGAAAAAATCTTTTTTTTTTGTAGTCATCAAGTTCAAGGGAGGTGTCTAAAAAGTTGACAGATGGCTCTTTTAAAGACTCCAAAGCTGAAACAGAGGTAAACTTTAAAAAATAACTTTCAGAGATGTAAACCCGTAGCTGTGTTGACATAGTCACTGCTGTGCCGTCGTCTTCTCCTGGGCCCCTGAGACGCGGGAGGAGAGTGTCGCTACCTCAGGCTCACACGTAATAGGTCCGTATGTATTTTGTGGTGAAAGTAATGATGAAAAGCTGGTGGAATGGATGGGGGTGTTTATCCTGAGCTGTTCTGTGGTGGGCTCCTGGGATTCCTTATAGCTGTTTTTGACAAGCATGCTATGATGGTGTATGAAGGGACAGGGTGGTCACTGGGGAGAGGATGGAGGTGGCACTTAGGATGAGTGTGGGAGAGGGTTAAGTCACCAGGCAGACAGGGAAAGGGAGGGCCGGCTGGAGGAACCCCTCCAAGCTCTGCCTGGCCTGTGCGGGACCCTGCAGTGGGTTTCCCGTGGCTGGGGCTCATCATCCCCATGGCGGCCATCCTGGGGAGGTTAGATTCATCCCAACTTCATAATCCAATTCGCGTCTCAGAAAGCGTATCCACGCAGCTGCAGGGAAGATGAACAAGGTGTGGAGGCTGGGAGGCTGGTTTTGAGGCCGTTATGGCAGGTTGAGAGAGGTGGCGAGACAGGAGCTGTGCCAGTGATGGGAGGGATGGGGTGTGCTGTTTTCTCTGATCTGTGCTCTCTTTAAACATAGTGTGTATGTTTTTACTCAGAGTTATTTACAAATGCATTGAAGTAATTGAGCGTATAGCAACAGAGGTTGAGTCCTCATAAACACACCTGATAAGACAGTGATTCTCAAAGCCTGGTCTGCGGATTGCTGACCTTTTAGGGCTGCACAAAAAGATGGAGTTCTAAATGCAGAGTGAGAGATGTCTCAGCTCCTTCCAGTTCTCTCTCGGGTCTCGGGTGCTCCGTTGTGCTGAGTCGGAATCAATTCCCCTTTATTGTGGATACTGCTATTGCGGCTCCTGTGTGTTCTTCCCCAAGCGGAGCTTGAGTAATGAATCTGCTCATGGTGTTGTTGTGTGATGCGTCAATTAATTTTTTTCATTCTCTTTTCTTTAAGACTGATATTTCCACTAGAGTATCCAAGACAGTGACAACAAAGACATCAAAGCGGCGATCCAAAAATTCAGTGGAAGGTACTGCAAAATTTACTGTATAAGTAGCTGAAAATATCGATATTAATTTTTTTGCCTTAATCATGATATCTAGTAGGAAAGTATCAACGGCTAGACAGCAGATCTGCCATAGGGAGAATGAACAAAGACCCTGTGACAATGATGAAGATATGTGGCTTTTACACACACACACACACACACGGACACACATGCATATACATGCATACATACGTGTGTGAGCTCAGGACACTGGAGCGGAGGAGCACCTCTGTGCTGGAGATCCATGTTGCAAAAAAGGCTGTGATCGAATTTAATTTTCCAGAAATATTTATCAGTCATCCCTGTTTCATTGACACTTGTCTTTTGAATTGGTAGGCAAAATTTAATCCTGATGCAGGGTGGACATAAAGAACATCCTGCTCTAAGACAGTTGATGTTTACGCATTTAAAAAATAGCAGAAATTATCATTGGGAATCAAGCTAGAATCTAAAAGCTGAAGCCGAAGCAAACAGGCCTAGCCTGGAGTTTGCCCAAGGATGGTTCCTCGTTGTGACAGACCAGTAAGTAGGGAAAAAAGGCCAGTCTGGTGCTGGAAAGTACTGCTGGAAGCTTTGAACTGAACAGTAAAATTAGTTTGAGGGAGCAGTGGTCATTCCTGAAAAGCCAGCCTCTTCCTAAAGTGTAAAAGCTAAAGAAGTGTGGCAAAATGTAATAGTTGGAATTTTTCGTTTAGAAATTAAGCTTAAATGCTCAGTGTCCCTCTTTCACAATAATATGTGATACTTTAATGAACGTTTTTGTGCCAGAAACTTCTTCTCTCTTTGGGTGGCCTCTGTCGGGCAGGTTGCCAGGGGCCTTATTGCTGGCACAAAGGGCATGGATGTTTGCAGCTTTTGGCTGCAGTGCACCACTGACCGGACCCTCTACCCCACCCCTGCTCCAGGGTCTTAAAGGCGGGCTGATTTTGATAGATGAAAACCAAAAAATGCTCTCTCTCTGTAATTCCTGGTGAAATTGCACATTTTTTCACGTGTATTATTAATTTTATTGACTTCCGTGACGCGTCTGTTCCTTCCTCTGCCTGGCTCCTCATTGCCCTCTTTGGAGCATCAGCGTTCTTCTCCCTAATTTGCACGAGCTCGCTGTACGTTAAGGACATCTGCCAATTTTTAAATAAGTGTTTGTTTCTTGCATTTTCCAGCTCATTTCTTCTAGTTGTTTGGTTTCTGGCTTGCCTGGATGTTTACTTTTTGGGCACTGGAAGCTGCCGGTCTTCTTCTTGGAGTTTGTCCTGAGACGAAGATTGGTTTTATCACACATTTTGTATTTAATCTTTTTGGTTATCTCTTATTTTAATTCATGGTGTAAGGCGAGGCTCTGACTTTGTTCTTGAGAATAGCTTGCCAGGTGCTTCAGGAGCGCGTGCTGACAGTACCCTTCCCTCCTGCTCTGTGATCCCCCGTATGCCTTTTGTCCTCTGTGGTCTTTTTTTTGTTTTTATTTTTTACTTGCACTGTTTTCTGTTTGACTCCTAGTTTCCTGTTGTTCTTTTCAAAAAAGTTTTAAGCGATTTTATTGCTTGATTCTTCCAGATGTATTTGAAAACGACTTCATGAGTCAAAGAACCCAGCTCCCACAAGACGCGAACGTGGGAGGATGTAGCCGGGCTTGTGTTGAACTTACACTTTTGTTGTTTTGGGAGGATCGGGCCCCTCTAATCTCACGTCAGTGCAGGAAGGTGTGTGTGCACGTGCTAGGGCGTGTCCGTCAGTCAAGGGTTGTGTCATAGTTTGTTTGGTCTTTACTGTTTTTGGAAATGATGTCTTTCTTCCCCTCGTTATTTTTTAGCAATTATTGTTGGCGTGTAGGAGCCTTGCTGATATTTGTACTGTATCTTAAATCTTGCCTTGTGTTGAATCCTAGCTCCTCCGTTGCTATTTTGGATTTTCTAAGCTGACAGTCTTTTGTTCTTTTCTAACAACTCGGGATGTTTGCATCTGAGTTGACTGGTGAGCTTGCGCTTTAGGGCCCCTCTAGACAGTCTTCACGAGATTTTGTTATCAGAAATTTGCGAGCTTTGTGACATTAAGCTTTACTGAGCTGTTGACAGATTGGCGGATGCTTTTCTTCTCTGCCCACTACCCAGGGCGCTGATCTCCCCCCGGTCCTCACCCAACAAAGTTGGCACTCCACCCTAACATTCAGGAAAGTCTCTGGCACCCAGGAGGTGCGCGGCACACAGGCGCTCTGTGTTCCACTCGAGGGGGTGAGCCTTGCATTTACTGGGGTGTGAGGCTATCACATTCCTTAGATGTATTTAGAATCTTAAATCCATTCTAGAATCCAAAGAGCGTTTTGCATAAGAATATGATAATTTTTGGTTATTTTTAAGTAGCGTATTATAGCAGAACTAATCATTTTGAGTTAGAGTGCACTTTAATTTCATTTGTTTGATGATATGCAGTATTACAAGTTAAGTTTAATACGTATTTTCCTTGTGCAATTTCATGTCAGGAAGAAGGGACTCTAGAACCAATGAAAATAGTCTTTCCCCTATGAAAAAACATAGCTCTTCCTACAGTGTGGCTAAGAGGGAGCGTGTGGTGACACAGCTCAGTGAACCCCCGCAAGCCCCCGTGGAGGCGGGCAGTGAATGTCTGGGCGCTGCACCTTGTGCTGCCTGGCCCTTTGCGTCCGTTTGTCATTGAACTGGTGGAGCTCTGTGGGTAGTGCAGCAGAGATGCGGCCCTGTATGAGGGGGGCCTGGGCTCTAGAGCACTGCCCTCTGGCTGGGGTGGAGCAGGGCAGGAGGGCATGTGGGCCCCGCCTGCCAGAGTGGCAGGGCTGCTGCAACTATGCGAGGTCACTCATGGGCTGATATGGTCCATTCGAGCCTTCCTTTCTTCATTCTGCAAGCGTCTGAGGAGTCCCTGCCCTCCTGGAGAACATCACATGGAGGGAGAAGGCAGAGAAGGAAGAGCACCCAGGGGTCTGCATCCACGGTAGTGAGCAGGGAGGGAAATGAAACCAAGAGAAGCGTGGGGGCCAGTGTGTGGACAGGGAGGGCCTCTGAGCAGGGTACCTCTGGGCAGAACGCTGACTGGATGAAGGAGGGCATGCAGGTGTCCAGGAATGGGCTGAGGTCCTGAGCTGGGGACAGGCTTGCCTGTTTGAGTGACAGGAAGCCTGGCGGTGAGGCTGGAGCATAGAGAGGAAGTAATGGGAGGGGCTGTACGAATGGGCAGGTCCGAGTTGTGGGCCACGTCAGGCGTGTGTTTGATGTAGTAAGTGTGAGCAGAAGTCCTTGCAGGGGTTTAAGCAGGATAGGGACATGATTTGACTTAGCTTTTAGAGACAGCCCCTTTTAAAACTGGAGAGGGGCAAGAGTGGAGGCTGGAGAGCATTTAGGCAGCTGTTGTGGCACCCAGGTGAGAGGCCGTGATGGCTGGGCCCCGAGTGTCACCGGTGAGAAGACTGAGTGAAGGATATATTTGACAGGGGAGATGACAAATATGCTGATGGATTGGATGGCACTTGTTAGAAAGGACGGGAGTCAAAGATAAGATCAGTTTTGTGGTGGAGTCTGGGCACCTCCGTGCTGTCGTTTATCGAAGTGGGAGACCTTCGGGAGAAGCTGGTGCTGGCCTGGGTGGCAGCACCAGGACTTCTGTTTGAGACACAGGAACTTTGAGATGCCTGTGATACAGCCGAGTAAGAGTGTCGAGACAGCAGGACGGGTAGGCCTGGAGTTCAGGGAGAGTTGAAGAAACGGGAGTCAAAAATGAAAAAATTGGGAATTGTTAGCGGACACATGGTCTCTCCAGCCGTGGACCTTCATGCAGTAATGAATCGGGGATGGTGGAGATGAGGAAGGGCTTGGTGAGCGCTGGGTCCGCCAGGGTCGAGCATCAGAAGTGGTGAGGGAGGCTCCTGCGCAGGAGACAGGCCAGGGTCGAGCATCAGAAGTGGTGAGGGAGGCTCCTGCGCAGGAGACAGGCCAGGGTCGAGCATCAGAAGTGGTGAGGGAGGCTCCTGCGCAGGAGACAGGCCAGCAGGTCGGAGGAGGGTTTGGAGAGTGGGGTCCCGAAAGCCAAGGGCGGGAGTTCAGGCATTGGGCTTCCTGGAGGATGGAAATGGCCGTTGAGTTGATGAGACAGTGAGTTGGCGACCTTGGCATAAACCCCTATAAATCCCAACTAAAGCAACCAAACACGAAAGCCTTTGCAATCTTTTAATCTGTTGTTAACTATTTTATGTCAGGAAGAAAGGAAGATAATATTTCAGCTAAAATTTTAGACCCCATAGTGTCTGGATTAAATAATGAACCAGATCAGGAAACTACAACTTCAGAAATAGGTAAGAAAATACATTCTTTAGTTTAAATTCCTCATCTCTTTGGTATGAAATATTTACTTCTCAGTGTAGTTATGTTATTTTTTATCATTCTAACCACTTTGATGTTCATCAGATTTGTTCCTGAAGATCACAAATGACTTATGTTCTGTTTGCTTTAACTTGCTAAGTTATGTGGTAAAGAATAGTAAGCCGGCTTTAAGTTAACCTGTACATGCCTTTTTATGTATAACTTATTTTCCATCTAAATCAAAATGCCTTCTTTATCTTGCTGTTGGGATTTTGTAAAACAACGTGGATAGTTAGAGAAATTATCTTTCCTTTCTCCGTCTCACTCTGCTGTGTTCTTTTGAGAAAACGCTCCCCAGTAAAGCTTTTAAAGTGCTTGCTTACGGCCCTTTGGGGATTTGTTCCCATGGCTTGCCCATTTATGTTTGAGGCTGGCAGTGTGCCGTGCTGCGAACGTGTCCTCACCCTGCTGATGTGGAGCAATTAGATGTATAAATTCAGAATTTCAAATTGGGTATCCTTGATTAAATATCGGTAGCTGTAGTCTTTTGTGATTTAAATTAAATTCTTCAGAAATATTAGAATTCTTGAGTGACGTGTAAGGGAAACAGTAGCGTAAATCTCAACTCTAGGGAAACATAAAATTTTTCTAGGCTGAACTTGCCTTATATCTGCTTTTTAAAAATTCTATGCCTGTAGCTAGACTCTTTCTCTGTGTACGTTTTTCCCTTTAAGACTCGAATTTCTAAGAGGAGGGATGTTTCAAGCATTCTCCTCCGTCACGGGTTCAGCAGGTACAGTGGAACAAGTGATCCGTGTTTATGTTATTCCAAGTAGGTCACCGTCTGTGATTTATCTGGGTCTTCAGCAGTGTAGGATGACAATAAAAGGTCGCTGAACTGGAGCAGAGTGATTTCTGACTGATGAAAACTCTTCACAATGGGCACGCATGTAGCAGTTCAGCCAATTTTGTGAGAGTGTATTTCATGTTGGCGGGAGCTTTTCTCAGCTGCATGGTCCTTTGGGAGGGAAGCACCAGGCGGTCCCTGTACCGCAGGGGAGGAGAGTGGGCGGAGGTGGAAGTTTGAGCCGCAGATGGTCCTGTGCGGGCAGCTGGGCGGGCCCGTCCCAGACCAGTGGGCAGAGCTCTCATCTCTCCTGCTTACCTGCCGGCTGGCCTTGAGCAAGCCACAGGGCTGTGTTCTCTGAGCCACAGTGCCCCCATTGGTAGATGGGTGTGAAAATACCTGCCTGGAGGGTCAGTGAGATGATGTCCATAAAGTGGCTGGCTTGTCACAGGCGTCCCATCCATGACCTGCTTTATTGCAGATCTCTTTGGTTTATAGACAGCCCCAAACCAGGGTGAGAGAGTGCTCATTCTGAGAAAGTACAATGGATTTAAAATAGAAATAGTTATTTAGACATAAATCATCGCTTTGTAGATATTGTCTACAAGTGTGAAAATAATATAAGCTCCGTATTTAAAAAGCAGAAGGCACTCCAACAGCTGATTCTCTGTTGAGCGCTTTGCAGAGATTAGAACGAAGCCTGGCGCCACCTGGTGGCCGTGAGCAGAGTCCCGCACACTTGGTGTCCCCTCCTCTCCCCCTTGCGCCCTGCCGCAGCGCACGCCCTGGGTCCCTGTCATCACAGTCACGCATGTCATCTTGCACTGGCAGTCCTTTCAGTTTTGGAATTCAGGCCTTTCTCACATGGGTATGATTTCCAGATTCCCCTTGGCTCTCAGCTCGTGCTTCAAGGAAAAACTGGGCCCTGTTGTGCTGACTGATCCAGGCCCTGGCTGCCCGTGCCCGATGCCAGGACCTGACTGGCCTGTGTTTCCACGGGCATCAAAAGTGAATTCGTGGATTTTGTTTTTATCATTTTGCTTTTTCAGGTGGATTGAAGAATTCAACAAGGAATTTATCCATTTTGTCCCCCGCTCTGTCCTGTAATGCAGGCTGTCTGATAAGCCCGTCCCCCTTACAGCTGTTTGAGTTCCAAGTTTTCCTGGAATGTTACACTGTCCATACCTTTGTTTTGCTTGGTTTCCCTCACTTCATTTTGTCCCTCACTTCATTTTGTTTTATTGTTTAAACCTTTGTATTATGAAAAATACAGAAAAGTAGAAGGAATAGTATGCTTGACACCCATATACCTCTCACCTAGATTCAGTAGTTCTAACATTTTGTCATATTTGCTTCTTCTGTAGCGATATATTTTTATGAACTGTTTCAAAGTATATTAAAAACATCCTAATGCTTTACCTCTAAATACTTTACCATGCAGCTCAAAAAATAAAGATGTGCTCCTACGTAGCCATAAAATTATTGCAGGTAACAGATTATTGTTCCCCAATAGCATCTAAAACCCAGGCTATATTGTAATTGTCTCAGAAATGTTATTTTTTTAAAACCAGGATCCAGTTAAGATTAACATATTGTATATTTTTTATTATTCTTTTTGTCTCTAACTTTTTGAACCTGGAGTAACACCCCCTTCTTGCCCTTTTATTCCAGCACATTGACCTTTTGGAGAGATGAGGTTGCTTGTCTTATAGAGCGTCCCTCCTCCTTTCTTTTTCTGCTTGTTTCCTTGTGGTGACATTTAACCTATGCCACCCCTCTGCCCCCTGCTCCTCCCCGTATTTCTGTTAGCTCTCAAGGGCTGGTTAGATCTGGGTTGAATGTGTTGCTTTGCCCTCACCCCAGCATGGGTGATGCTGTGCCCTTTATCTCATCTCCTATCAGGATACACATAAGTGTCTCTGCATCTCCTAATAGCATGCTGAGACTGGTCACTGGGCCAGGCAGATCCCCGCATTTGAAACCCTGGTTAGATATACTCAGTAACTCTGTGCAGCTAACGTTTGCACACAGCACTGGCAGGATGGCAAGTTGCTTGCTGCTGTGTTGTGGGCTGTGTGTCTGGTCAGCGAGTTTCGGGGGCAGTAATTGCCGTAGACCGGCCCACGGCCAAGTGCGGTGCTCCCTGCTTTGTGCATAGGGTCTCGTTTGACTCTTATGCTCGCTCCAACAGGGAGGGCGCGCTGTGGCTCAGAAGGGCAAGGAGCCTGCTCCAGGGTCAGCGCTTGGCAACCTTAAAACTTGGGAAGTCTTGATGCCAAGGCCCATGTCCTCACCTGTGAGGTTCCTTGTAATTCAGACAACAGCTTGTGCTACCTAATGCCCTGATTTTTTTTTGCCAATTCACAGTAATTTTAATTTTTTATTAGTGCATTATTTATTTTTTTAAAATTGTTCTTTGGCGAGCTGGTTAACCTGCCCCCTATGGTTGAGTCGATGGTGGTATTAGTAGTGACTGTATAGTCTGTTTTTATGTTCTTCCCTTTGTGTGAATTTGGGGTTTAGTAAATCTTACTTAAGAAGACCACTAGAAATGTTCTCTGTAAGATATCGTAAGTAATTGTCTACTTGAATCAGACTGTTTAAGTCAGCGTCATTCTTATAGATTAAAAATTCTTCTTGGAAAATTATGTGTTATCTATTTTATGTAATTCTATTACATAAAATAAAGCAGTTCTTTGATATTTAATGACAGGTTGATTCTGATATAAATTATTTCTTTAAATAATTTTAAGAAATTTTAAGATTGTGTTTCAGGAAAGGGAACATTTTTCTGATTTTGCTTTTGTCTTCTGGTTTCATTTTAGAGAGTGGGGGTCCTTTACTGATGGGTTAGTTTTCTACCCTGGGTCCTGCCGCAATTCAAAATCTGTTCCTTCAGCACCTCCCTGCCCCTACATTTGTTTTTAGTAGAAAAGATGTTTTGTTTCTCAGGTGTTTGATATTTTTCCTAATGTGACAGACATTGACACATCAGTCAGTAATCAATAGATGAGTACTTGGGAGCTTTCAACGTGTCCAGGGCTGTGCACTGTGCCAGAGATACTTTTCCTCTCTCCTGCTTTCCCGAAATCGCCACCTGTCTGCAGCTCCTCGACTCCTGGGCCTGGCTATCGTGGGGAGGCGAGTAGAGACCAGTAGTGTCGGGGTGGTTCTAGAAATGGCGGTAAAGAGGCCAGTCTGCTTTGGCTGTAGGGGCCCCCAGCCTCTGCCTGGGCTGAGGGCCCGGGGCCTGCTCACAGTCTGGGCGCCCCCCCGCCCCCCACCCTGCCCTCACGCCGGTCCCAGAGCCACACCTGGGAGGAACGTTCTTGGTGCACGTTCTCGAAAGCCTTTGGTCAGTCCTTCGTAAACTCGCAGTGTGGGAAAACATAGATAAGTAAGTGTGCTCTGTGTTAACGAAGCCATTGATGACCAGCCTGCCGTGTACACTCTTAATGACCCATTTTAAACTGTTTTATGTCAGGAACAAAAGAAGCTAATACTAACTCAGCTAGTGTTTCAGATGACAATTCAACTAGTCTGTGGCGTGACAGCATTGAGCCAGAACCCGCAGTGAAGCAGAAAGGTAAGAAGGACCGGCCCCCTCAGTCCTTTCCTGGTGAGGCAGACCGAGTGCTGCAGACGCCACGCCGGCTGTGCGGGCACCGCTCTTCTCAGAGGTGCCCCTTGGGTCTGCGACCACACGGACTCCAGTCCCTGTTCTTCATACGCTGGGACTGCACGTGGCGAATGACTCCCTTTGGCCTCTTTATGTAAACCGGAGTGGAACATTCTAGTCATTACTTGATAGCACCAGAGTCTGTCCTGTGTCGTGGTGTTCGTGCTGAGTGACATAAGCAGCAGCTTCCTGGCAGTGTCAGGAATGGCCCGGAAACAAGCTTCAGAGTGACTGCTTGGGAGTCCTGCAGGCCAAGCCACACTTTAAACAGCTCAGGATGTTGTCACTTCCACGATGTTTCTATCTGTAATGTTCTTTCAGTGTCTTAAATTGTACCTCGGTGAGATTCTGCTTTTGGCATAATTTTTCCCAGCATTTAGAAAAAAACTGTGGGGAAATACACATTGAGCATTTGTTTTTAAGGTCCTGGAGCTCCTGACAGGCCTGGGGGGTGCAGCACCTCATGGCATCGCAGGTCCTCCCTGGGAGTCAGGGCTTGTGCTGGCGGCAGCAGCGGGGCCAGGTGGGCGAGGGGACTGGGGCAGCAGGGGGTGTGCCAGGTGAGGGCTGACGTGTCGATTTGTTCAAACAGAAGATATTTGTTGAAGGCCTGTGTGTTAGGCCCTAAGGCAGTGAGTGCGTTAGTGGACAGAGGTTGGATTGGAAGGTGGCCCCGTGCCGTAAGGGGTGCTGGAGGTAGTCTGGGGTGGGATGGACTTTGCACCTGGGGTCAGGGAGAGCCTTCGGGCAGTGGGCGGGGCGGAGAGAGTGGGGTCACCTCGTGCCCAGCCTCATGACCACAGGAAGCGAGTGGTATTTTTAGGATGAGTGGCTTAATCATATTCAGATCATGTTAATTGGACGGCTTGGCGAGTAGTCAGGAGGGGAGAGTGGCCTGGACTGTGGTAGGACAACAGGGAGTGGAGGAACGGACAGATGCTAGAGGTGCGGAGACAGCGAAGGGCCGAGCAGGCCCCGAACTTGGAGGGAAGGTCTGGACCCGAGATGACCTGTGAGGGTTGTTGGCGTTCAGACAGTGTTGAGAGCCCAGCTCTGGGTGGGTCACCTGGGCTGAGAGAGGGAAGGAGAGCCTGCCATGTCTGGGCCTTGGCCCTGGAATCTGGGGAGGAGGCCGAGCTGGTGAAGGGTTCTGAGGAGGAGAGCCCGAAGACGGGCGGGGAAAACCCGGAGGATCCGTGAGGAAGGAGCCGGAGGGGTGGGGGACCTGATCTCTGGAGGGGTGAAACCTGCTGTGCACACTCGCTGTTGGGGGATCAGCCTGTGGCTCAGTTGCCCCACCTGTAAGTAACCTTTCTCAGTTCAATGAGAACTCAGTGTTTCCCCAACGCCGAAGGCCTGGGTTTGAGGAAAGACCAGGGGTTTGGAGTCTAGGGCCCCTGGTTGCACAGCAGCTGTTCTGTGCTGGTCTCTTCCAAGTGTGTGCTCTGGGCTGCCCCTCTCTGAGGAGGGGGTCTGCTGCTCCCTGCTCTGCTCCTAGGCAGCGCTCCATCCCAGGGTTGACCCTGAGCCCCCCATTGTCTTCACACCATCCTTCCAGTGGCACTGTCTGGAACCATGTTCTCCAGGCCCCTTTTACCTGCTGACCCTCAATCCTCTGTCCCCTGCCAATCCTGTTCTCTGTTGTGTCACCTCTAGGGTGGGCTGTGACCTCCAGGAGGCTCCCATGTTCCATACAAACAGGGTCCTATAGGGCCTCCCGGTTCTCATTTCCCCGTGAGCTTGGTGCCCCCTTTCCCCTAGAGCCGCCCTCCTAGGGCACCATTCCTGTAGCTCTCCGTAGTGTTCCATAGGCAACAGAAGGTTCTTAAAGTCCTCCTGTGGACAAGCTCAGGCGTCTGAGAAGTGCTTTTCACCCTGCGTTTGCATGTGCATCCTCAGAATGACCCAGGGCCCGATCTTCGTGGGTGTCATAACACAGTCCCGTCTGGAGGTGCGGCTGTGGTTGATGAGGGGCTGCACGGTGGCTGTGGCTAGTGTCTCTCTCCTGGCTGTCCCCTGGACCCACGTAGCTTTGGCTTCTCTGCAAATCTGTTCATGCATTTTAAGAGTGTGACACAAAGATGATCCACCTGCGGTTTTGAGTCCACCCCCCCTCCCCACCCCTACAAGTGCTTCCACTCATTTCCATAGGTCACGTTTGTCCCCAAAAAGCAGGATCCTGGGTGAAAAGTGGGGAGCTTGAGAAATGTTCTTATTGAGGAGCCTATGGAAAGAACACTTGGCGATGAGTCGTGTGAGATGGGCTGTTGTTTGGTTACAGAGTCATCACGTGGCCCAGAGGGGTGTCCGCCAGGTTCCCTGCAGTCAGTCTTCCCGGATTCCTGGCTTCGTCAGCTTCCGCCCCATCTGTCTGTCTCGTTCACCTCTGTGATACACTTTCTTCCCATCCCTGTTCCTGTTTTCGTGTTATAACATTTTGTGACTCATAGTTTGGTTTGTTCTTTGTCTTTCTATCTTTGACAATGAAACGATGGCAGGAACTAGAGAAGAGGCTCTGAGGGGATGATCGTGTCCCTAGCAGACGTCCACAATGGCTCTTGCATGTTTTTCTCTAATCCAGTTCTGCTCGTTTAGCTTACTGAGGTTCACTGACACAAAAGTTGATTTTCTGATGTGCCTTTCTTATTTTTTTTTAGGCGACTCTCCTAGTGATGCAGGTAAGGAATGGCCTTAAATATATGTGTTTCGTATAAATTGTGTACATGTGTATAGATATTAACACATCCTCTCAGATTTAGATTTTATAAATTGTGTTAGTGAAAGTAATTTAAGGAAACATAACTGTACCAATTTAAGATTTAATTTACATGTTTTATGTTTCAGAATCAGGAGGATACATTTCAGAATTTTTTCCAGAGTATAAAGTATATTTCCAGTATTCAGATTCTGATTTATTTTCACAATTTTCTAAGTATAAATAAAGTTCTTTTCTTTTAAATAGTGGAGTAAATTTAATTGTCTTAATAGCTTGGGCTTGTTATTTACTGATTAAATCTTTTTGTCAAAATGAAAAAACTTTGTTCAGATTATAAAAATAATATGGTACGTGCACAAAGTAGGAAAATTTTTAAATGCAGAAAAGTATAAAGAAGAAAATGAAAAGCACTGGTAAATCCACTGCTCATAACTTAAGTTAACGTCCTTCCAGAACCACGTATATGTAATTATTAGGTATATTACCATACTCCATTAATTGTGTATTAAGATGATGACATTGTTTTATATAAGACTGTACCATAATTTACTAACATTACGTGTTGTTTGTCACTGTTAAAATGATGGTGGGTGAGCATCTTGACACATGTATGTTTATATATGTCCATTTTTTCCCCTAGTTATGTTTCCTTTAAGTTAAGTTGCTGACTTGATTGACCTACCTTTTGAATCCAATTTCTTGAGAAGTTGAACTAGTTTGTATTTCCAGGGTTGGAGTGTACCCGTTTCCCCAAACCTTCACCAAATTTAGATATCAAATGACTTTTATCTTCATTGAAATGACAGATGAAAAAAGCTCACTTATATTTGCAATTATTTGCTGTTTTTTCACATATCTGTTAGTTGTTTGTGTTTCTTCTTTTGTGAATTGCTGATTGGGTTGTCATCCTTTCAGAAGGAGAACTCGGACCTTCTGGCCAAGACAAGTCTGAGGTGTCCGAGAATCCCGAGGTCCCTAACGAGCCCTCATCCAGCCTCAGGTGTGTACCCTCTCATCCCCAGGTGGCCACTGTGGCCATGCACGCTGCGCTCTGTGCCTTCCTCAGTAGACTTAACGCTTGAGTTGAGTGATGGGAAATACTTGTACAAAGAAGCAAAAATCATGTATTTAGTTTTCCTGAACCTGAGGTGTAACTAACCACATGTAGAACATTTTAGAGATTTAGGGAAATTCATAATTATGGCTAAATCATGTCATGTTTTGATTACTGATAGTTCTGTTACTACTTTTTGTACCTTAAAATTAATGAAAATATAAGATAAAAGATGGATACTTTTAAACTTGTCAGGTTGGTGGAATGTTCTTAATATCCTGCAGACTGTGTCCTACCCAGCCTGTTGATGGGGGCCTGGAAATTAGTGTTAACATTAACCTGCGTTTTTTTTTGGTCCCCTTTGAAATGTACGAGTGTTTTATCTCCCTGCTTTGGTTTTCCCATATTTGAATTTAGAAGAATGCCTCGGCCTGGGAGTGCGAGACCAGCGCCCCCCCGAGTGAAACGACAGGAGAGCGTGGAGGTGCTCACGACAGACAGGTGGGGCCCTCGTCATCGCGCAGGGCTGGGAGGTGCCCGTGCTGAGAGGTGGGGCAGAGAAGGCAGCAGGTGGTGCTGGGAAGACTTGCTGTCGAGGAAAAGACAGACCAGGTTAGGCCCTGACCTCAGACCGCACGCCAGCCTCACGTTTCAGATGGGTGAGAGAGGAAAACACATGTATTCGTGCATGTGCAACTAAGTCTTCACAATACCCGCGGAAGTGTATTTCTCTGATCTCTAGGTAGAGGATTTTCTAGGCATGAAAACAATGAGGGGAAAAATAGGAAAAAAAGATTTAAAGGCTTAATTGCACAAAAATTAAAAACAAAATATTGTCAGAAACTCATAAACAGTATAAAGACAGGCCACCGATAGGCCTTTTAAAAGTTTTACAAATCTACCTGTGGAGTAAAGTCCAAAAAAATCAAAACAAAAAAAATAGAAAAATAAAAAGAGGCTGGATCGGAGTGGGTTTCAGATAGAACAGGAGGCAGGAATTGGATACAAGTGTAGACATGTTTTTTGAGTTTTATTGCAAAGGGAAGCAAAGGAATGAGACAGTAGGCAGTGGGAAGGACAGTGTCAAGGGAAGTTATATTTTTTGTTTGTAAGATGAGAGAACTGGCACATTCTTCTGGTGATGGCAGTGATCCAGTGGAGAGGGGGGACTGGTGATGTGGGAGGGGCAGGACGTGGCGGGAATTGTTGGACAGAGTCCCTGAGTGGGCGAGGGGACATGGAGGGGTGGGCCTTAGAGACAACCGAGGAGAGCAGTGTGTGGGTGAAATTCTGGAAAGTTCTCTCTGGTGCTTCCTTTTTCTTAGGAGCCAAGAGTGAGTCTGGGGAAGGAGGAGCAGGAGGTCAGAGGAGAGAGAAGACGGGAAGCCATTCTCCACCAGAGTGGGCTGGTGGATGGACTGGAGCAGAAATTCTCAGCCAGGGGCCACTCCCACCCCCAGGGGATGCTGGGGACACTGGGGCCATGTCTGGAGACGTTTTGTAGCATCGTGACTGGGGAGGAAGTAGAGGGAAGGTTCTTGGCATCTAGTTGTGGGATTGGAGCTAGGGATGCTGCTAAACATCCTACAGTGCCGGGGGCAGCCCCACCACAGAGAATGATCCAGCCCAGAGGTCCACAGTGTGGCATGCAGAGGCTGGCCTGGAGGAGCAGGCTTGATTGCTGGATACGTCAGGCGCACGTGGTGTCAAGCGACAGGAGTCAGTGGGCTGTGGACTTAGTTCTCCAGCCATGGTCAGCTGCACAGTGCAGGCACCAGGTGGGCAAGGGGTTGGGAAGAATAGGGTACTTGGATTGGAGATTGAGGGCTTGCCGTCAGCAGCAGTGACAAGGTGTGACCCTGGGAGTGTGACTGAGTGATGGATGCAGGAGAACTCAGGGACCCCAGAGCTGAAGGTTTGTGAAAGATCATTTCTCAGTACTCGCGATCCTCAAGAGTTGAGACAGGAGCAGTGTCGGCGGAAGCAGCAGGGAGCCAGGAGTGCAGGGGTGGGGCCTGGGACTGGCAGATGGAGGCAACAATGACGGGGTTGAGGGTGAGAGCTCTGGTTCTCTGAGTATCTCTGACAACATGAGATTCAGAATTGGCAGACTTTTGGGGGAGAATGACCTGGAAGCCACAGTAAGCATAGGGAAGACCCTCCCTCTGGGCCTGGCATAGGAGGGTAGTCTGTCTGTGGGCTGCAGGGAGGCACATCTTCCCTGGGGGCAGACAGGTGGTGGTGGGATGTTAGAGACCGAGGGTGAGGATGGAGAGGGTTTGCGGCTGAGGGAGGACACGTGGCAGAGTGTCTGGAGTTGGGGAGCAGTGGATGTGGGCCATGGTGGGGGTGTACAGAGAGAGTAAGAGACAAAGGAGAAGATGAGATTGGTCCTGGTGGAGGCAAGACAGGCAGTTGTGAGGGTCGGACGGGCCCTGGTGATCAAGTTGAGGACGTTTGGGAGAAGCGGGCATTGTTTCGAGAGCTCATACTCAAGTGCACCGATTCCCTCTTGACCTTGTGCATTGCACTGAAACAAGGGAGAAGTTTGGGGGTGTGTGTGTGTGTGTGTGTGTGTGTGTGTGTGTGCGCGTTTGCATGCATGTGTGTGTATACATGTGTGCATGTGTGCTAGAGTGATAGGGAGTGGGGGAGCGGCAAGGGTGTTCAATAGAGCATGGCTGTGTTAAGTTGGTAGGGAAGGAGTAGTGGCAGGAGGGACTGACAGGGAGCCGTGGCATGTTTGGGTCTGGGGCCTGTGGTGGAGGTGCAGGTGTGGTGGGAGAAATGCCTGAGCAGAGGTGGTCTGTGGTGGGGTGACTGTAGGTGGGATGTTCCGGTGTGTGACCACTGGAGGCGTGAGAGAGCCCTTGGATGGAGGCAGTCACCTGGGAGGACCAGGTCAGGGCTCTTGGGCATTGGACTGGCTCAGAGTGATGGCAGGGCCTGGGGGAGAGGAGGTGCATAACTGGGGGTGCTGGGCAGGTTGAAAGGTCAGGGGCAGCAACTAGGAGCCAAATGAGGGGCCTCGAGGAGGCTGCTCTGTTCCCATGTGAGACTGAGGAGCGCAAGTCTGGGGTGGCCCTGGCCAGCGGGGCCCCTGGTGCCCCCCTGCCCTGAGCTTTTTGACTTGGGGGAATAGGCTGTTCCATGTGAGGGACTGCAGGTGGGGGGCTCGTCTGCCAGAGAGCCTGGCCAGGGGAGGGGGGCTCCAAGGGTGATGGTTAGGTAGAGGGCACAGCAAGGCGGGGACTGGCTATGGCCCTGGGGGCTGGACATCACTGGGGTGGGGAGCTGGCAGAGGGTAGTGCTCACAGGGACCCAGGCCTGAGGGGCTTCATTGAGGACACTGTTTCCAGACTTCACCTCTGCTTCCGCCTGTGTTTTGTGATGTTCTAGAGATGGTTGGTGGCCGCACTCTCACGTTACCTCAGGCCCGGTTCCAGACGCATGGGGTTGATGAAAATGTGTGAGCGACATAGCATTTCTAATTTAATCTAATTTCTTTTTATTTAGGACAGGGAGTGGTAAAACCGTCTCAAATGTGATTATAGATTCGCAGAATTCTGACAATGAGGAAGATGATCAGTTTGTGGTGGAGGCTGCCCCCCAGCTCTCTGAGATGTCAGAACTTGAAATGGTGGGTTAACCAGAGTGTGTGTGTTTATAATTACACTTGGACCACATTGGCATTAATCCTCCAGCATTGATTTATGTAGCACAGTTTTCCTCTAAGGTTTCCATTAGTTCTGTACCCTGTTTAACTTTGTCCTTCCTTTGATGAGATCCATGAAAGCATGATTTTGAGAGTTCAGCAAACCTGACCCTCCTTTTTTCCTCTTTCCTTTCCGGCTCAGGTACAAGCGGTGGAGGTGGAGGAAGATGAGAAGCACGGTGAGTACTGGGTATGTGCACGTCTGTGTCTGCTCTGTGCATGTGCTTTCAGAGGATCCAACACAAATGAGCCTGGTCTGCCCCGTTTTGGTCTGGGGTCTGAATGGCAGTAAACAGGATGCCATGGGCATGATTGCCTGTAGGTGGAGGTTTTATTATGGGAGATGGTGGATGCTGCTGCCCGTCCTTCGAGGACTGGGGAGGGCGCGCAGGACCCAGGAGACCAGCTGTACGCGCTTACGCAGATGGCTCCTTTTCTTACCCGTCCACTTAGATTTGGGATTGGATGACCTCAAGTCATTCCCAAAACGACAGTTCTGTCATATTATTTGTTTTTTCCCCAAGCACAGTGTCTTCTTTTTTTCCAACATTTGTAAAGGCAGACAGAATAGTGTGATGAAGCCCCTGTACCCGATACGCAGCTTCAACAGTGATGGACTCATCTCGTTCTGTCTAAGCCCCCAGGCTGTGTCCCCTCCTCCAGACTGTCTTCAAGCCCTGGACCGCTCAGTCCTTCTGCAAACGTGTATGCACCTCTGAAAGATGAGGGCTCTTTTTAAAAACATAACCATAATTCTATTGTTGTATATAAAAAAGCAATAATTCTTTAATATCTTCAAGCCTTTTTTTTCCAGTTGTTCTGTATATTTTTTCTGCTTTGTTTGAGTCAGAAGCCAAGTAAGGTCCCTGCATTGCCGTCCACTCGCTTGACTCTCAAGTCTCTCTTACCTGGAGGTCCCCTGCCCCCTTTCCCTGTAATTTATTTGTTGGAGAAGCTGGTCAGCTGTCCTTCAGAGTTTCTCACTGTTGGGTGTTGCTTATTAACCCCAGTGTTAAGGTGTTTTTTTTTTGTAAGGAAGGCTCGCCCTGAGCTAATGTCTGCACCAGTCTTCCTCTGTTTTTTGTATGTGGGATGCCTCCACAGCATGGCTGACGAGTGGAGCAGGTCTGCACCTGGGATCCGAACCTGTGAACCTGGGTGGCCAAAGTGGAGCACGTGGAACTTTACCCACTTGGCCCCAGGGCCGGCCGGGAGGTTTTTTCACACATGCCTCTGTTGCTGTAAATTGGTTCTAGAGAGTTGGTGAGGTTCAAGTGTTTTGGGCAAGAATGCCTCATGGGTGGTGTTGGTTCTTTGTCGCGTCTGCCGTGTCTCTGCTCACGGTGTCAGCCTGGGTGGGTTATTCACTGAGGGTTGGAGTGGCGATGCTCTCTGCCGTCCTCCATCTTCCTGCTGCTTTACTGGGGAGCTCCATGGTGCGAGCTCTTCCTTCTCAGGGGCCTGGCCAGCTCACGGCGCAGAGCCTGTGGAAGACGCAGCCCCGACGCTCCATACCGTCCCTTTATTGATCACTTGTCACAGTAGTGACTTTGTTCCTGACACCTGTGAGAGGTGACTAATGAGGGCTTCTGTGTTTTTTTGTTGTTTTGATATCTATATGAAGTCATGGTTTTGTTTGTTTTCTTTTGTTTTACACACTTGATTGTTTCATTTCAGCCCCTCTCAGTTTTTCCTGTCAATGTTCAAATTTCCCCATGTTTGACCAGTGGGGCCTGTCCAAGTTGTCTTCCAGAGGCATTTTCACTCATCCCGGTAGACTTTGCAGCTTCCTTGTTTTCCAGGCTGACAAGATGTTTCAGGCTCACTTTGTATATTTCCTGCCCTGTATCTGAAATCCTCCGTTTCTCCAGGGAGCCTGGCTGTGCATTGCTGCTTGGTTGGTCATTGTTTTTAGGGCTTTTCTTCTATTTTTTTAATAAGAAAATATGTCCTGAGTTCATATTGGTATTTCCACTTCAGCTTTACGGTTGTAGGATTTTCCCTAAGTTCTTTGATTTTATACAAGCATCTCTATCTCACACTGAAAATCCTGGCTCCTGGCCCCAACTGCTTGTTTGCTCTATCCCACAGTGTGTGCACACAGCAATTTTAGGGCACCACCTCCTGATGTTAACAAGCGTGGTCACTGAAAACACTTCAGGACTTTTTCGGTCGGTCTGTTTGTTTGTTCTTAGCGTATATCCCACTAAGGATGTCAGCCAATTACTCTCTTTTAAAGTTATGAAATAATTCTTCTCCATTAGGCGATGCTTGCCAATTAGGTTTATTAGTTTCATTTTGGTTTCAGTTTTTAGGCATTGAAAGTTTTGATTTAATTTTGTTTTCTTTCTGTAAAATATTCACATTTCCAAGGTCAATGGTATGTTCAGAGATATGAGGCTTTGATCCCTGCCTTCTCCACCTGTTACTCTCCCCCCCCCCGTAGGTAACAGTAAAAAATATGACTTCTACTTCCATTTAAAAAAAATATGTAAGTAAGTGTGTATGTATCAATATCTGTACTTCTCCATCTTGCTTTTTACCTTGACAGCAAATGCTGGCGTTCATTCCATAGCAATGTAGAGAAACAGTCTCCCTTCCTGTTTGTAGCTGCATCACCCTCCACTGTGTGGATGCACCAGAGTTTATTCAGCCAGTTTCATATTGATGGGTAAAACAATATTTTAAAGAAAGTGATTTTTCATATGATATTTAGTCCATGAGTAATCCCTTTTTTTTTTTAAAGAAGTTGATGACACTTGCCCCAATATAAAAGAAGTATTAGTACTTAGAAGCGATTCTGTCTCTTGTAGACTATTTATCACATAAAGATTATTTGAAGCTGTTTTCAATGTAGAAAGAGGAAGAATAAGAACTTGATTTTCTTCCCATCCCTCCACCCATTTAGACCATAGTAGTTTTTTAGGGCAGAGAATAACTTTAACATAAAACCACTGATTTTCAACAGGAGGACTTGTCAAAAAAATTCTGGAGACGAAGAAAGATTATGAGAAGTTGCAGCAGCCACCCAAACCTGGAGAGAAGGTAACAGAATGGTTTCTTTGGACACTGGTGTCTCAGCAGTCTGCTTTACACATTCACACTTTTGAGATGACAGGCATCTTTCAAATATGTGATTATCATATTTAAAAGTCCCCGAGCCGGCCGGCCCCCTTCTTGGGAGGATAGAAAATTCAGGGCTTTTTCAGTGTGATGTTGCCTCCTGGACCCCATCCGGTCCTGCCCTGGGTGGAGCAGCGGCCTGGCTTAGGGGCTCAGGAGTCGGGGCCAGAGGCCTGTTCCCTGACCCCACAGCTGTCCCCGTCCCACCTCGTCCATCCCTTCTCCCTGCCTGCAGAGTGGGCAGGCTGGCGCCTGGCCCGGCTGATTGCACGGTAAGAGAGGGGGAAGTCCTCAAGCCTGGCTTTCAGATACGGTGCTGTTTGGCCTCCCAGCAGCCTTCCTTACAGCTGTGGCATGTGGTTTCGTTGGGTCCCATGGCCTCCCGCCAGCCACTGCCCTTGGGCATGTTACCTGGGGTGATTACCTGCAGGCCAGGTAGTGTGCCCCAAATGCCACAGCGAGATTTCTGTTATAGCTGCTTTTATAAAAAAGAATAAATCTTCATTTATTGTTTTAATAACAGAAAGAAGTTTCTTGGATGATCAGTTAGCAGCAGCAGCCAGCAATTTCAATAAGTTTTATACCCCCCCTCCTTGAACTAATGGTTATTTGTTTTAGATAATTCTGCTTAAAATGTCCTGGTTTGTCAGAAGACCTGGCCTGAAATAGCCCACGAGGAGAACTGTGCGGTCGAGCCGAGCATTAGAGGGAGCCCTTGCACAGCAGCAGCAGGACCGCAGTGTTGCCCAGGCCCTGCTCACGCTGACGGCCTGCTGTTCGCTCTTCTGAAAGAGAAAGCTCTCTGCGTCTGTTGTCTATTGCTGTGGAATTTTAATATGTCTTGGTCCTTTCACATGCCTGAGGAGTTGTCCCGGGGTCCCTGGCGAGCTCTGTGCCTCCAGGCTGTTAGTGTAGGTACCCTTTGAAGCTTCAGTTGGTTTGAATTTTATAGCCGTGTTTTTTATGCAGAGCACACTGGGCCTGTGTTTCAAAGTTTCCTCTGAAGGGTAAATTTCAGAGTAGTGGATCTTTTGACTTTAGAAGATAAAGGGAAACATGTCCTGGTTTGGTGGACATTTGCTGCTTTAAAACAGTAAATGTTTCAGAGTCATGGGTGGCGTGTTGACGGTTGAGTAGGGAACCCTCAGCAGGCTCCTTGCCCCGTTTTCTCTAGTGTGTTCGCACACATCAGATTTCATGTAGCTTATTAAATGTCTTCTAAAAACATCTTCATTAGGTTTTTTAAAATAGAAGAAATTAAAATGCACAGGAGCAGTCCTTTCTGTCTGTGCAGCAGTCCCGTTCTCCCTAGGGCCACTGCTCAGGTGCGTTCGGCGTGGCCCTCGCTTCCACTTCTGTTTGGCGCTGTTGTGTGAGTCCTTATGTTGTCCTGTTGGTGTGTTTTGCACGCTGCTTTCTTCAGGCAGCGTTGTGTTCCTGAAACTCTCCCCGTTTTGGTAGCTGTAGGTGTGGTTGGTTCGTTTTAGTTGACTGGTGTTCCATTATTTGTTTACTGATCCCTTCACTGGGTTAGGGTCCTTCAGCCTCTCACTGTTGTGGGCAGTCTTTCGCAGTGCTTCCCTGGGCTCCTCTGTGCGTCTCCTGGCACACAGGAGCCACCGGCTCTGAGCAGTGGTCAGCCAGCGTGCGCCAGAAGGGCCAGGCAGTCAGCGTTTCAGGCCTGTGAGCCGCGCAGTCTTTGCTGCAGCTTCTCAACGTGCCGACCTAGCCTGAAAGCAGCGTAGCATAGACAACAGTCGACGAGTGTGCGTGACTGTTCTGGTAAAACTTCCTTCACGACAGCAGGACCTGGCCTGGGACTATTGTTTGCAGCCCTGGTAAGTGTCTGTGCCCAGACTTAGAGGTGCGTTCAGAGCTTCCATTTCACCAGGTGCTGCCAGATTACCCCTCATGGTGGCCGTGCCGCTGTACTCTCCGGGTGTGGGGGGGGTCTGTCTCCACACAGCTGTGCCAGCCAAAGTCAACACGGTGAAGATTCCCATTGCCCTCAAAATGGCCTGTGCCCTTCGGAATCCACCCCCTCCTCTCCCCATCCCTCCCCCGCCAAGTTCCCCGCAACCACTCGTCTGCTTTTTGTTCCTGAGCTTTGGTTTGCATGTCCTGGAATTGTCTGTGGGTGGCATCGTGTGGTGTGCACTCTGTTTCAGTCTGGCTGCTTTCATGCGTCGTCATTCCTGGCATCCCTGTTGCGGCCCGTGTCAACAGTGGGTTCCCTTTTACTGCTGAGCGGTAGGCGTCGTATGGATATACCACGGCGTGTTTACCTGTTCACGGGCTAGTGACCGTTGCGTTGTTTCTGACACTATCGCGTATGAAGCTGTGGTGCACGTTCGTGTGCAAGTCTTCGTGTGAACAAGCGCTGTCCTTCCTTTGAGCAGATACTCAGGAGCGGGGCTGCTGGGCCCTTTGTAAGCGTGTGTTTACTTTTCACGAAACTGCCAAACTCTGTTCCATCGTGGGTGTACCGTTTTACCTTCCAGCTAGCGGGGTGTGAGAGTTCCAGTTCCTCCATGTTCTCATCAACACTCGGGATGGTTCGGCGATTTAATTTTTTGTGGTTTTAATTTGCATTTCCGTAGTGGTTAATGATGATTTTGTCACTGTTGCTGATTTTCCTCCTCTTACTGTTTTCTTTGTATTGAAGTCTTAATGTTGCTGCCTTTTCTCTTCTCGCAAACGAGTCCTTTCTGTTTGTTTTACCAAGTCAGTTTCTTTAGTGGGTATATTCCATTTTTCTGTTTCTTTTTGAGTTTCTTTTGGTAATAAATATTCGAATGTCAGGATTAGGTTTACTTGTGAGTGAAGGAAAGATCTAAAGCAGTAGTGGCTTAAAGGAGGTAGAAAGTGCTTCAACTTCTGAGTCAGAGTCTGGAGGTGGCACTGACCCAGAGGCCTTCTGCCTCATTCTTCCACACGCGTGACCTCTGTGCCTCAGGGCACTGCATGGGCCAGAAAGGCTGCCCCAGTTCCAGCCTTCAGGACTGCATTCCAGACAGCAGGAAGGAGGAGAAGGGCACATCCCTTCTCTTTTAGGCCATTTATTGGAAATTGTGTATACCACTTCCACTTACGTTATATTGACCCGATCTTTGTCACTAAGGGGACCATGAAGTGAAATCTTTGTTCCAGGCATCAGTTTGCTTAGCTGAGAATAAAGGCTTCCATTAATACAGACTAGAACTTGCCAGATTTTCTCACTGCCTGGCACACTCAGAAAATGATGGTATTTGGAAGGCACGTGGGCAAGTGGAGGAGGCTGCCTGCCTGGCTAGGAGCCGAGGGTTTCTGGATCAGCACAGCTACCACATATGGGCAGCACACGGTGCGGGAAGCTCTGCTGTCGGAGGGGATCAGAACTGGGGGCTGACGAGCAGTCTGCTCCACAGTGTTTCTCTAGGAAATTGTTGATTTCATTCACCTTTTACAAAGTCATGGCAGGGGATGTTTCAAGTATACTTCTATGATTTAAAAAATGTGCCTATAGTTTTCCTTTCTTCCCAGAAATTTTGTCTTTTTTTTTCTTTGTTGAGAGTTTGAAAAAACTATTGAAATGGACACCCTCTAGCAAAGAATCAACTTTTGATTTTGTAATGTCACTGTTGTTTTCATTTCATTGATGTCTGTGCTTTATTTTTCCTCTTAATTTCTTTGTTTACTTTTTCTGGCCTCAGGTTAAACATGTAGCTCATTTATTTTTAGTTTTTGTCATTTTAAACATAAGTATATTTAAGACTATACATCTCCCTTTAAGCTTTATCCTTGAATTTTAAATTCCTTAAATATTAAATTAATATTAATATTAAAAATTCCTTGAGTTGTAATAGGAATTACTTTGTTGTTATTTCTTCCTTAACACATGGACTGTTAAGGTCTGATTTTTAGCTTTCAAACATGAGAGTTTTTAAAGTCTTTTTATTGACAATATCTAATATAATTGCATGTTCAAAAATATGGTCTGTATGATATCGATTATTTGGAATCGAGACCTTCTTCGTGGCCTAGTTTGTGGTCGGTTTTCATAACTGTTTCAGATTGCTTGCAGAGCGTGTCTGCTTTCTGTGTTTTGGTCCAGGCTCCGATGCACCCATGCTGATTTCATGGGGAGGCAACTGTAAGAGTGTGTACCTCTCAAAGCACGTGGCCTGTGTCTGTGTATCATTATTGTCGATTCATATGTTAACCATAATATGAATCTCTTACCTTTTCTCCGTCATTCAAAAATTCAAATAGTAGATGTTTTCTCTGCTTTGACATAAATTATAGTAAGCCCTTAGTTTCTATACTTTGTATTTTTTTTTGAGGGAGCATTTTTTTCAATGCTGAGGAAATACATATTTGTAATCTGGGCATCTCTCCAGCCTGTCTTTGAAGTTCAGTGGGAAGAAAAGCCATTTCTTATTGTACTAATAGACTTGAATAATACATTATAGAATAAATATGTGAATCAGATTGCTGGGAGCATTTTCCTCATTATCCTGACTTATTTGCTCTCTTTTCAAGAGGAAATATAAACTCTTTAATAGTAAGATATTAGTTCATGCCAGCAATTTTTCCTTCAGATTTATGATTTAAGTTTTTGAAAAACAACCAGAAAAGCAGTTTTATTACAGTGTTTCTTATGCTTTAAAAATACTTGCTTTTTAAACTTTATAGATGAAGATGCTTTAGAGTAATAGCCAGCGATTTCAAAGATGGTTCACTTAAAGGGCCCCTTAAATATTTCTCCCTCCTGCTTCTTCAGTCTCCTGCTGCGTCATCTTCTCTTTCTCTTTTCTTTTTTTTCATTTTGTATCTGTTCTAACTGAATGTAAATTTTGGATGCTTTTTCTTTTCACTCGAATCCTTTATTTGAAAATAGACTCAGAGTGTCTCTCTTTGTAGACTTCTTTCTCTTTCAGTTC